TCCCCCCCCCCCCCCGTACATAACCTAAATTCGACGAGGATGACATTCTAGGATAAATAACTGGGAAGACACTCACCCAAAAGAAGTCGGCGAAATCCACAGTCATGTTGGAACCGTGATCAGACCATCATAATTTATCTTCTGATGTATCAGGCCGCACTGCACCGTTAATAACGAACCATTGACACACACATATATATGTACACACACGGTACTATAGACGACGCAACCGTTTGAGCCGTACGACGAGACGTAACTCAATTTACAACGAACTACCGACGTAACGTTTTCGTGCTTGGACGTTTCGAGCAGAACGAGCGCGCTCGACCGCGGAGACACGGGTCAACTTTATTTCAACTGTCTCCCTCGTTCGTCAGACTCTCCTTGTCCTCCTCTCTCTCTTGTAAATGACACCTTGCGCCATCTTCCGTCGAGAGTCAGAACTATTAATGACTAATGATGGTCAGTAAAACAGACATACCTTTCATAATTTTTTTTATACTACTTAAATCATTTATGTAAACGGGTAAAAACGAAATATATGAAGAACAGAATTAGTAAGGTTTTATGTTTTCCATAACATTTGTGTTACTTTTAACGTATATATTGAGGCTTGACATCTTCTGCACTGAAATTACGAAAATCTGTTCACATGATTCTGCGCCTCAGTTTTGCATCGAAACTGCAAGAGGTGTTGCAGAGTACAGACACAAATCACAATTTAGCTTTCATGTCGCCTGTTCTATCGTAATGTACATGTTAACTGTTTCATTAAACAGCTTCTCCTCACATTATGCAACTAGTGTAACACGCGCTCTATTAAGAACCGATCGTCCACTTCCGGTAACGCGGTCGGAACTTAACCTACGATTACATCGCCAAACAGATAACCCTTTCACCTCGATTGGACGTTTGTAGTGTGCAACGTAGTTAAGAGTTTTACCACTTTCGAACAACGGCGCTACTAAAAGCTCAGGGCCGAGTATTTTTTTTTGGTATCCGAGAAACATCCCCTGATTTTTTTCTTCGGATATCTGTTTCTGAAATTGTTCAACCGAATGTTGTGTTCCCATTAAAAAAGGACATATGAAACTGATGTAATTTCGAAGATAACATGTATAAAAGACAGACCAATGCAATTGCAAATGTATTGCTATTTAAAATATGCTACCAGATTACGTGGTACTGTACTGGATAAAGATACTCTAGCTTCTAATACGATTTATATTCTGTCAGTGAATATTGCATGTCAGAGAGTGAAATAATTGACCGATCGGGTAAAAATGCACAGTGATAACGGGTTCAAAACGAGATAGGAAAATTCGAAAGGGGCGGCAGTGACTGCGAGAAAGGTCGGAAGACGGGGGGCGTGGCCTCGAGTAATCAGCTCAGGGTAGACCAGTGTCCTTGCGCATATCCAGTGGCTATACGTTACACATCTACGACAGCCACTCACGTGTGTATCGTATATACGGAGAAGAGAGAAGTTTCGAGCGTTATCAATCACTCTCCTCGCTGGACCGAAAAGGTGCATCCCATCTCGGTGGCCGTCGATAGGTAGAACGACCCAGTTTTTTCCCGTGGTTCGAGGGATCACGGCGATGCCCGCGAATAAGGGGAACCTGTCGACGTCTCACAAAGAAAAGCCCGGGAACGGTCTGACGAACGCCGCTTCCAAGAAGAAGAAACGCTGCCCCGTTAAGCATAAAAAACATTGCAAGCAATATCTGGTGAGTGAGCCGAAACAAACGTTAATTCATTGCAAGCGAACGGCCATGTTGCTGATCGAGTCGAGTTCAATCGAGTGCGATACGACCGCGTCGTCTTGTGTTCCGTACAAGCTCCTGTATTCGAACGTGAATAAAGTACCGAGAATGAAATAGTAGTGCACCAAGATGAATGATTAACGTTCTTCCTGTTTGTTTTCCGTTTCTCGTTTCGACGACGGAAATGTTCGATTGTGAGTGGAATTCGCAAGAGTCGTCGCGTAGTAGTAGAGAGAAGCAGGTTATGTGTCCCAGATGGCTCGAGTTGAAACACGATAGGGTTTGTTCACCTTTACCGATGCATGGTCGAAGTGTTACGGGTTTTTAGCGATCGATCCGGCGCAAGCATGCCTTGGTGCCGGTTACGATGCAATTTTCATTTGAAGTTCCTCTTATGATTTAACGCGTCCCCCTCCGTCTGAAAACAACCGCAGTAATTTCCAAAGTCTCTGGTACGTTTCGAGTCTTTCTGCGTGATAGTCGGATTTTTCCCTTTCGACGCGATAAATTATTCATCCGCCGGTAATGTTTGGTAACCGCTTATCTCGTACCGATTTGCTTTCCATCTTCTCCGCGAAACGACCAGCCTCTTACCAACATACACGCTTAACTGGTTTAGAAAATTTCAATCTTCATCAAAGTTCCATTTATTATTTTTCTTTTATTTCTTTTATTTTTTTTACCTCGATGGCCTATCAATCTTTCCTGATGTTCCTATCGATTTTTAATTTTTCCTAACCGCGAGCGTCGAACTCCACGGTGAAGTTGTCCATTATCTACCCGGCAAAGTGCAAATCGATACGAGATAAAATCCACGAACTGGAAATTTTCTGCGGATTTTGAATCACGAGGGACTTCATGCAAGACGTGTAATACTATTAATCCGCGAGCACATCGCAGTGACTCTGATCCTTCCGTATCCTACTTGTATAATGTGACAATATATAAACAACGTTTGTTAAATACATCATTTGAATGTTTTACTTTTTTTACGGGACCTGCATTCGAATACCACCCCATTCCCGACCATACTTTAGTGTATGTACCTCCGTAGCACCTGTACAAATTATTCCTTTACACGTAACTGTCGAGCACGTTCGTGGTTGCGTGCCTCCATTGCTAACTATGTACGCGGTGCACACATATATACAAACACATTGATGGACAATTGCATAGGCATTTCGTGTCGTGGCCACTGGTGGCTACGCGAAGGCGCATCATTGAATTACCGTGCTGCTAAAAAGTACGCACTAGAATCACTTATGTGTAGACTGCAGATGTTTATGCAAATTTTCGTTTCTTTAAGTTATTTCAGAAAAACCAGAATCTATGAAAAAATTAATATTATCGATTACGAGATTCATCAAGTCGAGAATAAAGTAAAAACTCAATTAAAATCGATCGAACCTTTTTCATCTGAATATGTTCTATACATTTGCATAGTTCAAACTTCAATACAGTGTAAAGAGTAACTTTATTCAGGTTTCTACTGTACTTGAGGTCTAATGAAGCCCTTAACAGACTAAAGTTACATCTGCAGTGTATGCATATATGTTTCTATTTCATGTTCTTTTGTACGTTGTACTTTTTAAGTTCACTCGAAGCGATCCTTGGCGATTTCGAGCGGTAACGTACTTCGTTAGTCGAAACTAGGGGAACCGTTGAATCACGTTCAGAATAAAATCACGAGGAACGCAAGGAGCGGGCGATAGATAGGTCTAGCCCGTAGTATTAGCAACTTAGGAGGCACGTATTGATTTCTAAGAATGCCAAGAAAAAGAGGTTGGTGCTGATTCGGCGAGAACAAAAGACGACACCAATTCCACTTCTGTAGCCCACTTGAACCACTTGCTATTATGTCTCGTAGGCGCGGAAGTTGGCAAAGCCGTATTGGCTTACCTACGTGAAAAGAATCCGGGGGACACCTCTACCCTTAGTTTTCTAATTCCGTACGAAATGTGTAAATGACGATCATGGGACGCCCTTTAAATCAAAAGACCTATTACAACGGTTGGATTAATATACTCTATTAGAGTGTGGCAGTGTATTTTCTTTTTTTGGTGGTATGTTATTTTATTTAATGTCTCACTATTAGGATTGATTTGCTGGCTCCATACCGAGCCTGGTTGAATAATTAAAATGTATGGCGGTCAGTGTTGTTCAATCATCGCATTCGTCGATCGTTCGACGCCTCGCACGGGATTGATTAAAACATGAAGTTGGAAAAACCGTAGAATTATTGAAGTAACAAAAAAAAAGATAAATAAATGCACAGTACGCGATGCACACCTTTTTTTATTTTACGATCGACACTGACGAGCGTTGGATGGAGACGTAATTCATGCAATTCGAGCAGGTGCCGTTCGCTGCTACAGCGAACGGAAGCGGAAGTCGAACGTAACTTATCGTCTGTGTGGATACACATATACACGCGAACGCGCATGCACGAGTGCGTGAGGGTTCGTTTAAACGCGACACTGCCTATATATTGAAGTTCGCGTGTCGACGTACAGTTTCTTTCATTCCTGGATTGGCCCGCTACCCATTACCGGCGAAATTAAACCCGTTGACACGTCACGTGTTCGATCGATTCGAATTTAACACAGTTCCCTCCCGGGGCGAAAAAAACCGTTAATTATCCGGTTAACGCTCGAACAGTTCCAGTTTGGAAAAGTTAAACAGGGATTAATGAGGTTTTTGTTTTTGTTTGGAATTCGGTGGGGCTTATAATAAGAATAAAGAAATTTCCGTCAATGTGACGATACCAGAATCGTGCCCATCCCTCCTTATAAGGAGGTAATACTGTATCGTAAGGTTTTCGTGAGAACTGCCTTAAGTTAAAATGGAGAATTCCGTAAAAATTGTTTAGTTCAATTTAGTATCTTTTGTATTCGAATATTTTACGCAAAAAAATAAATGCACGAAGCGTAGATTAGAGGTGCCGCTAATGATAAGATTATCGACAATTCGATATATCGATAATATTATTAAGATACGTTGAATTAAACCTAAAGTGTTATTATGAAAGATACATAACGTTACGTTATAGTATAAATTTGTGTTCCAAGTGAAACATTAATTTTCTAATACAGGACAGATTCTACCCTACAAAAGGACGAGGTTACAACCAAAATACACTGATATGCTTTTTGTAATAAGCTAAAATGAGAGTTAGTAGAATCTGAATGATAAATTTATTACACATTGCATTCTACTGTGATCATTCCTATTCGCCTTATGGTCGATACCTTAACGTTATTATCGATATATCGATAACTATCGATGATCGTTCGCAGCACCTCTAGCGTAGATTCGTGTGTACCGTGCAACACCGAACCACGAGTAAGCTGCTCGAAAAGTTTTCGAAACGGTCCCGCCGAGTCTGGTTAAACATCGTTACAAAAGGTAAAGGAAATTCGCTCTATTTCGCGATCCCTATTGTTCGTGCCCGGAATACCGTTGCTCGGTCGCGGTGCGAGATAACTTCTCCTCCCCTAACCTCCTCCCGGAAGTTCGGCAACAGCCATTGTCCGTCCGGTTCCACTAATTCGCTGACGATCACCGATAAGTCGTTGAAAAATAGGCGTAGACGTCGCGACGCCCGTCTAAAGATTTTAATTAACCCACTTGCGCGCCTGCATAGTCGACGACCGGCTGCCTCCGGGGCTCGGGCTCGTTTTTAACGAGGTGTGGGCGAACTGCCGCGGAAAGGGAATTAAATCGAGCTGTGCGGCGTCTGCTCTTTGTCAGATATCATAATGTCCTATAATTTCATTACTTTTTTTTCTCTTCCCACTCTCCATCTCGCAGCCACTGGATCGGACTCTCTAGTTCAATTAACCTCAAAAATTGAAACGATGATTAGCCTCGTCGCGGTTGTTCATAACGCCGGACGAGTAATGAAATTCGAATGCACACCTTCGGGTCGCGGAATTTTGGTTGTTTCTGCGGTGTAATTATTTTCCCTGGTCGCTGATGAAACCAATGGCCTCCCTCCCGTATGGACGAAACATCAGTTAGAAACTGTTGCAACGACGAAGTTTGTTCGTCGCGAGCTCACGGTTTCTGGGCAACAACAGAGTTATACGTGAAACTTCACCTGTCGTACATTATAGAATACACGATACACGGGATATAGTGGTTTTCACTTTTATCAGAGAAATCCTCAGAATCTCTCTCCGAGACGTAGCGGTTCGATAGAATTGAAAATAAAGCTCTGTGAAATCAATGGATTTTCGCGAAATCGAGGTCTCGCTGGGAAAACTTTTATAGAGTACTTTCTGTTTGTTTTTCCGTTGGACGGTAAGGGGTGGCGGGAGGGAGAGGGGAAAGAGCCCGAAAATATATCTAGAATCTCTTCGCCGCGTCGAGAATAACGGCAGTTCCGCTCGTGTAACCGGTATTTACCGATCCGGAAATTACTACCTGCAGTCGGTTGACTCTCCGGCCGAGAAGATGGAGCCAGGATACCAAACGTTGGTATTATTCTCGTCCAGTGTCGAGAGGCAGAGAATTATCCCGGTGGAAAAAAATATGGTTCCGGTTGTGTGGTTTCGTGGAGAACCGAGAGTTCGTGTTTTCGAGATCCTTTAATGACTTTAAAATATGAAACTGCATTATTCCTCCCGATGATTGAGGGGTCTCGCGTTTCCACGGAACGGTATCGACGGATGGGACAGAGTAATACTGTGTGGATTTAGTACAGCGATATTAGATACCTTACTGAGAGGTTAATACACCGGTATTAGATACCATACTAAGTAGGTGATCCTCCAGTTATTCTTGAGCAGTGTATTTATACCGCAATTTTGGAATTATTAAAGACACACGCGTTCGATTGCTTCGCGGTACCTGCAACAGCATTCTCTCTTGTGTTACACGGTCACTTCGATGTACGTTACTTTGTCCGTTCCATTTCTAGTACACTATAGTGAAGTCTCGATAAATGTTCGGAAAGTTTTCTA